GGGCATTTTTAATCTGTAGCTCTGCTCTAAAAGAACGTACGTACCTGGACCCGCCTACTATCCTCGGAAACATAAAATGATTGGCTAGAATCTAAAGTGTATCACAGCTCAGGAAAAAAAGCACCGAAATGTGCGCTGCTTTTCGGTCTGGTTACTACCGTTTATGACAGAACCGGTACCCATCCCTACTGATACATTTGTTCTAAGGGCACATGCTGCACTAATGTATTTGGAGCAATGATGTGGTGTTTATTCAAATGTTTACATCTTGGAAAAAAAGTAAAAAGAACAAAACAAAACAAACAAAACTTAAAACCAATATACACCCACAAGAAGTGTACTGTTTAATTGTAGTTTTTCCAAGGCTGAGGAGGAGGTTTGTATAAAAATAAAAATAGATAAAAATAAATAATAACTAAGTGCAGAGTCTTTAATATATTAACATGTGTGTACATGCGTGAGACATGCTTCATCAGTCTCAAAGTTTTTCTGGCTTTGGTCAATGAAGATTTCTCCAAATCATGCGCTGGTCATAATTATTGTTAGCCTGGTATAACTTAGGGCTGCTCGATTATGGCAAAAATGATAATCACGATTATTTTCACTGAAATTGAGATCTCGATTATTTGACGATATTTATTTAACAATAACAATGTATTGAATAATGACTTTAAAGATTGTCAAAAAATTATATAAAATAGTGTGCAAATACTGATAACAGTGCAAATGTTTGCAATATAAAAAATAAATGGAAAATGTAAACATCTATGTTTAGTGAAGTTTGCAGTGTTGCTCTGTGGTGCAGCTACGACACTGTAGTAAAGTTTACACACTATGTCTACTTGATCCACATCGGACTCCGCAAACCCATAATGTTTCCACACCACTGAAGTTTTTTTTACCTCTCTTTTCAACCAACGGCAGTCACTCTCCTCTCCAAATAACTTCTGCTTAGCTTTCCGAGCTTCCCTCGGGTCCTGTAATTGTTGTAACACGTGTTCGAAATGCAGAGAGGTGCGCTCGATTTGCCACATTGAGCAGCGCGAGAGCAAAGCACGAGGAAGGGGCTAATAATCGGCTCAGTCATTTTTAATGATCGTTGAAAGCCCAGATTGTAATCGAGATTAAAATTTGATTAATTGAGAATTGTTTAGAACTGTGCAAAACACGTTTGTTGTGTGTTCACAGAGTAGACATCATCAAGACATGACAATAGTAAAAGTGGCCAGTAGGTGTCACTGTGGAAATTGTTTTGAAACCTCAGTACAATCCTGGCACAGCTGCTTCAAATGTTTCACTACTTCACACAGCTGTGCTTTGCCCATCACTAGAAGACACTCACAGCTGTACTTCTCCCCAGAGCTACACCACTGACAACAATTTTAACCAAAAGTTTCACATTTAAATTCATCACTCCATCAGATGTGTTGCCACTGATTTTAGTCCAGTTCTTGTGTAATTTGTCATACTTCAGCCTTTTGTCCCTATTTTCCTTCCTTAAGAATGGCTTCTTGACAGCCACCCTCCAGCTGAGACCATTTCTGAGACTTCAGTGAACATCAGATGGGTCAACAGAAGTGCGAGATGCATCTTCTCAGGTTCTATGTCAGGTCTTTCTTTGATTTTTCCTATTTTTGGAGAAAATGACTTAAATATGTTGTTGCATTTGTTGTAGATTGCCTGCCACTTCTTTTGTCGTCCACTTGTCTACTTTCTTTTAAAGGACATACTGCACACCGTGGTGAGGTTTGCCATGTTTTCGGCATACAAGACATTTTATGCCTTTCAATCTTTTTAATCTCTGGCATTATTGTAGATTTAACTAAAGAAATGGGAATGAATTGTGTTTTCATGACAAGCTGCTATTAACAAAGTGCCTAAAGATACAATTTAAAATTGGTTCTTTGCTAATTTGTCTGTTATGTGCAGCCAACACTGGCTCATCTGAGTTAGGTGTCTTTTTTTGTTTGTTTGAATGATTCATAGGTTAGTGTTATGTGGCTTATGTGGAAAAAACACTTCTCTGAAAATTGTGAGGTATAAGAACTGGACCGAAGATAAGTGGAAAAAGCAGACAAATGTCCAAACTCTTTTGCACAACACTATATAATTAATTATATGCAAAAACAAAGCACCACTGAACTAAACAGGGAGATAACACAACTGTATTAACTGACTGCAGAAGTATGGAGGACTAATACTGCAACCTGTGGATGTTACCTCATATCTGTCTTTGGAGGCGGCATAGTGCAGAGGGGTGCATCCATTTTGATTAACTGAGTTGAGCTGAGCTCCTTTGGATATCAGAGATCTTACAATGTCTTCTCTGCCTGCAGATGCTGCAATGTGCAAAGGGGTCCACGAAGCCTGAAAGGGAAAACAAAACAAAACACAGACATCAGTGGCATCACTCTGAAACAATGTGTTCATCCGTATATCTCTTGTATTAATGGTCACATGGCATCTTATAGGGAGAAGTCTGCAGAAGGAAAGAATTAATGTACCCACAAACAAACTTACATCATCTTGCAGGTTCACTTCAACTCCCATGTCAAGAAGAAACTCCACAATATCGGTGTGTCCAGCAGAACAAGCCCAGTGCAGCGCGGTTCTCCGGTCCTGAAATCACAGAAAGTTGTGTTGCTTTAAAAAGAAAATTATTATTCCGATTTACTGTAGGGGGGGGAATGAATTCCCGCGGGCTGTACTGGTGGGTCATGTGTTCTTACCTGGTCTGTTTTGCAGGCAAGCGTTTTATCTGACAGGATGCACTGTTTTAATTTCTCAAACTGCCCCGTGTAAGCAAAGTTACACACCTCCACATTGGACACCGACCCCTCCATTCTTAAAATATAGCTAAATGTCCAAATAAATATATTAAAGCTTACTGAGGATACTCTTTAGTTATTTCGTTTAATAAACCACAGAAGCAATGACTCAGGAAATTATGAGCTCTCTTTCCGCGCTGGTTGACCTTTTCTTTTCAAACTAAAACTCCATCACCAAAATGGTACTGACTTTGCCACGCCACTTCCGTATTATTGTCCATACAGTCAACATTTACTACCACTATTGTTTCCTTAAAATGTAAAAAACACCACATGAAAGTGGAACTCGGAAGAGAGAAGCATAAATGAGTCTGAAAGATTGTACTGACATCTTATTTTGGTAGGCAGAGTTGGTGCCCCGAGGAAGTAATACCCAGTGTGATAGAAATGTGTTGGTTGCTAAAGGAATAACAAGAGAAGAAAAGAAGTCTGAATTGTGAAGTTTTCCCAGTCTTTTTGTAATATTTTTGTTTTGAGTTGTTTCCAATAATTTATCCGTTCATATGGCAACCACCCTGGTAAGCTTTTCCATGCCGTTTCCAAAAAACACACGTTAAATCACCGTGTCCAGCTTTGAGTAATACGTAGTTATCTCTTCAGGATTTCAGGACTCATGCCGACCAGTCATGCAGATATTCAGAAGAATTTGTCAACATTTATTACGACTGTATGGATAAGAAGAGGCGGGTGAGTTTTGTTTCTGGAATTTAACTTAAATTAATTTGTAAGACCAAACAAATACGGTGGCCCGAAAGTGCCGTAAATACGCCCCGTGTTACCTTATTTTCCACATGTGGTCAAGTCAACACATTTCTTTGTCTTAAGTTCTGTAATCCCTAAATGTGAAGGACCAATAAGCGTTGAATCCGTAAAAAAACAACCAACCAACCCCCGGTCATTCCATTAGGCACACATTTCTAGTTGCGCCTCTCTTTTTCCTTCAGTCCCGTCTTAAATCTTCATGGCAAAGATTCAACAAAGTGATTTTGGTGCTTGTGGACTTGACAGCATCACAGATTTGTCAGCTGCATATCCATGATGTAACTCCTGTTCCACTTTGAAAGGCCAAGTTGGATTGTGATCTAATGACCGGAGGCCATTTTACTACAGTGAATTCATTGTCATGTTCAAGAAATCAGTCTGAGACGGCCTGAGCTTTGCGATGTGATGGAAGCGGTTGAAATAGTCATCACTGTGGTCACAAGGGGATGCATATGGTCAGCAACGTCAGCTAAGATGTGACATTTAAACAGCTGGTACAAAGGAGCCTAATATGTACCAAGAAAATGTCCCATTACACCAGTCATTCCCAAAGTCAAGAGTGCTGTGACCATTTTAGAAAACAGAAAATCATTTGGGACCCACCCAGTTCTAAATCTTAAACTCTTATAAAAAATGTTAAAGACCAAACAAAAATGACGCATTTCATTGAAAATGTTATTCCATTAGCTATAAATTGCTAATGTTGTGCAGTCATATGAAAAGTGTTAAGGCCAAAGTGTGACCCACTCCTTCAATACAGAGTTTAAGTTAAAGTAATGAGTAATATCACAAACTAACCACCTCCAGTTACCAATTTTAATTTCTGTTTCAGATAAATGTATATAAATGTTTAAGTGTACATTAGAGGTGGGAATCACCATACATCCCACGATACGATATTATCACAATACTTAACGCACAATACGATATTATTGCAATTTTTTTTTTAATATTTTGCGATATTCAGATTCTGTACATAAAAGTAAACTTTATCAATATTAATTTTCTCTAATAACAAAGCCTCACACTCAGTCTTTCTCTCATTTCAGTCAGTTTTATTGTTGACAAACTGAACGGTTTGTATTACAGTCTAGTCCAACTTAACTGAATGCAACCATCTGGTACAATTATAGCTATTCTGAACTATGCAATTTATGAAAACTATGCAGCCCATTCAGCAACTGAAGAATTTGAAAGTAAATTAAAACAAAATATAATTTTACATTAAATAAAAAAGTTTTAAACTTAATTAAAATAAAACATGTCTTAAATTAAAATAAGTAAACTGTCATGTTTATTGCTGTCATAAAAAAAGTTAAACACATTTGGACAGTGAAGGAATGTCAGGATTCTTGCTCAGAAAAAGGAGCTGATCAACATGCTCTGAAGTCAGAGCATGTTCCAGTCCACAAAAACATTTTTTTGTAACAAAATATCGATTTCTGCTGTCCCTGTATCGATACATTATTAGCAAACAAAATATCACGAGACTACACAGTATCGATTTTTTCCCCCACCCCTAGTGTACATACTTGTGAGTAATTACAAACTGAATTTCTGTTATTACTGCAGCCTACCTGCAGTACATTTTGTGGCCTGCCGGGGGTGGGGCAGCCCACACTTTGAGAATCACTGACCTACGTCATCACACCTCCACCATCCTTAACTGTTGATACAAGGATGGATCTGTGCTATCACTTTGTTTACAACAAATTCAGACTCTGCCAAATGTTGCAGCAGAAAGCAAAAATCATCAGATCAGGCAACGTTTTCTAGTCTTCTGTATTTGGTCAACTTTAGTTAGCACGTGTGAATTGTAGTCTCCGCTTCCTGTTCTTAGCTCGAGTGGCAGCCTGTGGTCTTCTGCTGCTGTAGCCAATCTGCTTCAAGGTTTGAATGCATTCACAGATGCTCTTCTGGGTTTTTCATCTGTTGGCCATTATAAGTCCTGATATATCTGATATATTGGTCAGTACATCGGTTGGGCTCCAGCTTGAATAAGTACCTAATAATGTGGCCAATGAGTGTAGGTTATAGCATGTTGAAACTTAGCTTTAAAATCTTCTAAGTAAGAGATATTGTGAAGACCTCCTTATTGGGGCCTGTGATGTAAATTTATTAAAGTGGATTCAACTGTGAGCTCCCTACTAGCTCCTCTGCAGTGAAAGCAGTCTTATTCTTAAAGTGATTATGATCTTTTAAATGAAAACTACTTTTCAGTTTCACTAGAGCTAATGAGCATGGTGCTCTGCTACAGGCTGATGTCACTGTTGCTGTTAATGTTCACCATTTTCTGGCTCCCATGTGCTAGAACTTAATCCGGCTCTACCTGGACAAGGCCACCTTGGTGTGGAACGGGAATGCGGTGTCGGGACAGGAAGCCCTGGGCGAGTTTTTTGAGTCACTGCCATCTAGCGAGTTCCAGGTTCAAACACTGGATTGCCAGCCTGTGCACGGTCAGTGGGTCAATCCCAAACTCACATTTGAACTATTAAATTGATCCCTATTAATCATATTGTCTCATTAAAATGTGAATGTAAACCTTTATTCTGTTGCTGCTTTAGAAAATAACTTTAACTTCTCCTCATTCAGAGCAAGCAACCCAAGGCCAGACAACACTGCTTGTGGTGACCGGTGGCACAGTCAAGTTTGAAGGGAACAAACAGCGTTTTTTCAACCAGAACTTTCTCCTAACAGCTCAGGCTTCACCCAACAATGATCAGCCCGTGTGGAAGATCGCTAGCGACTGTTTCCGCTTTCAAGACTGGAATAGCTGAGGCTCTGCTTCCCCCTGAAGTGTACAAAGGCCTCAGCAGTGATCACCTTTATAATAATAAATATTGCATTTGTATATTCAGGTTTTTTGTAATAAAATAAAGTGTCATACAACACTGAGTACGAAAAGGTGTTTATTCTTGAGATGTCGAACAAGGCATGTGACTGCAATGATGGGAGTAATAAATACACGTAGGTTCACCAAACAACTGAAGTGACTGCCATCGTCTGTGTACTTAACTTTTAACAATGCAAATCCACCAACATGACAGTATTTGGAAAAATACATAGAAAACACATTAAAACAGAGTTCAGAGGATCCTTTATACCAAATCGTACAATAACCTATTAACTGAGGTAAAGTACGCACAGTATTACAGTATGCCAGTTGTGACTATAATAAAGGCTAAGCAGTTTAGTAGTTAATCATGCTTTTTTAATAAGGTGCCTACAAACATTTGTCAAAATGTTTCTATACCCCACATTTGACAACTTCATATATTAAAACATTTGTCCATCTTCCTGAGTCATTTAGGCCAACACATTTTGGTCTTCCTTTCTTAAACCATTAAAATAACATTAAAGCATAAATAAAACACAGGTAAGAAACAAAAACAAAGCTACAGACACGGACAAACGACTGTAAATGCTCTTGATCGTGTCGATGTGTCTGCGGTGGGGAGTATTTTTCCTTTCAGTCAAGTAAACACGGCATTCAGCCTTTTTTGTAACTTTTCTTTTTTACTGTCTAGCTACCACCTCTGCTCGACTACATGAGAACTGCAGACTGAAGGCACCTTAACATCAGTACTCCAACTTTAGAAAACAGCATGACATGCCTCTGCGATCATGGTGGCATTTTTTTCCTTTATTTTTTGAAACATTTTCAATAAAAGCAGCAGCAAGACTTAAGCAACATGTGGACCGAAGGTGCCGTTTCTAACAGCTACAAATAAGAGTCCCAGCAATTTCCAATGGATGGCAGTTGAGAGCTGCAATAGCTTTTCACCCTTCTAATAACAAAAACTGACACTTTGGTGCATCTCTTACAAACACAACTTCTCACAGTCACACATTCTCTCTCACACACACACACACAGCTACAACTATTTACAGCTTACGCTTTTCTCTGTGAAGCTGTGGAACACAAACAAAGTACAGCTTTGTAACCAGAGGAATATTTACACATCAAAATCGTGGTTATGGTGAAAGCAGTAACTCCTGGGTGGTGTGGGCCTGCTGGAAGTTACTTCCTCCCATACATTCTCTCTATGTGATGGAGATAGTGGTTCTTCAGCTCTTTCCTCTTCAACTTGAACGCATCTGTGACTAGGCCCGTTTCAGGCGTCCACGGCTCTGGACTCAGATGCACCTTCACTGGAATCTCAAATCCCTGGAGTTTAACTACAAGGAAGGAAAGTGATGTTCAGGCACATTTGGACAAAGTATGGATGAAAGCAAAACTTGCATAGCTTCTATTATCACAATGCTGTGAAAAGACTTAATGGACTCTTACTGTTAGTGGCGACCTCCTTGATCGCCTTCAGGACCTCGCTTTCCATTTCAGGATTAGTGCAGATCTCCTCCCATGTCCCCTCTATGCCCCTCTGTTTGGCCAGTTCTGTGAGCTTTTTCTGATTGGGAACCACAAAGCTGATCACATAGTTCTGATCACTGCAAGGGCACACAATTTAAAAAAAAAAAAAAGAAGAAGAAGAAGAAGAAGTTTAGAAACGGTTCAACATTACGTTGCATGCCCACCACTGAACAACTACAAACGAAATAATTAATTCAAGTTGCAGCCGTAATCACTTCAGTCTAATTAGGGGCCAAATTTAATTGTTCCGATATCAGCTGAAGTCGAAGTGAGCGCTACATTTGTCGATTCAGTCGTCATTACGACACTTAAACGTCACTTGGAGTTCTCATGTCAGCCAGAGTGCAGGTGACACATCTGAAGTGGGAAGAATTTCGTGACCGTTTGGGTGTTCACACTGAAAGCTGTCAGTTCAAGTGTGTAGGCGCAAAAGCCTGTCAGGTAATTATGTATGAACAGTAACAATTTGATTTTACTGGAGCTTGGAGAAGAACTCAGACTGGAAATGATTTAAAGTGTTACCATGAAGGTATAATAAGCACAGGGGGAAAAAAACAAAAAAGGCAAAGAATGACTGCAGGAGCGGTGCTGAGTGATGTGGAATGATAAAAGGAGAAAAGAATTCAAGGAGTGGAGCTGTGAGACACAAGCAAGTGCTGGCAACGTTGAGAAATACTGCTACTGTTGGGATATCCTGAGTAACCATCTCTG